TAATGGACATAGTCAGCGTTGATCGTCTCAAACAGCTCTCGTCAACGACAGTGCCCTACGCGATAAACAGAGATTCAAAGTTAGACCCGTCCAACTCACTGTCGTAATCCTTATTTCTGCTTCGAGTAGCACGCTAAAGACATCAGAGACCTCACGTCCCAGTCAACGGCACGCGTCATCTGCACCATCTAAGGATGAGATTTCGGTCTCACGTCCATATCAACAGACCACGCAGCAGATAAGAAACCACGAAAGCAACAGCTAAAGTATTCTTTACTGTGGACTTATTTAACTTTACAGTGACTGGTTGTATTTAGTGGTGATCATAGGCAATCTCGACTCGATCACTCACTAAACCTTCTCGTGAGGCTGAGCTGTGCATGACCTAGAACTTAAACCAAGGAGTCATAAAGGACCGATAGATGCCAGTCATGTGCAGTTTTCCTGCATGCCATGACACAAAAATGCTCTTACCAACGCATTGTAGACCCCACCCTTTACAGACAGACTAACATCACGAAGGTGATAAAGATAGCCTAGATTGGCATGAGTCGTTTTGGCTTTCACTATTCATGAAATCATCTCATTACTCACTCCACCACCAGCACTTACACAGCTAGCCAGGTACCAGAACTTTTCTACTACCTCTATTCGCTCACTAACAAGAGTGAGTGCAGGTTAAGGGTCCTGCCAGTCTTGTCAAAGTACTTTTCACTTCGAAAGTGAAGAGCTCATGCGACTCCCATAGACACTGATTCCCAACTGACTAAGTGCAGATTTATGGCATGGAAGTCTTTGCAAAGTAAGACAATATCGTCCGCATACTCAAGGTTGAAATGTGTTTTTAACGCAACACATCAATAACACCATTACCGAAACTAATGAGAACTGTTCCCAAAACGTCATAGAAGGCCACATTTGGGAAGTAATTGTCACATTGGGCACGCCTGTCTAACCCCATCACTTGAATGTAGAGAAGTGCCCGTATACCCATATTCTACACTAGGTATTTTTATATTGGGCCTTTAGGATGTTAGTACATTTTTCTCTCACACTTTTTAATAGAGAAACCGAGAGAGCAGTCCTGTCCGACAAATCGAAGTTGGGATGGTGGAGAAAATTTGTCGTTCAGGTGGATGAGCTCCAGCTCAGAGAACAAAACACCACCACAAATCAAAGGTGGCCCTGATGCTACAAAGCACACCGACTGTTGGCCGAAGGAAAGTGTAGTGGTGTCCTTGCAATTGTCTGAGCTTACAGGTATGACTGATACATTATAGACCATAAATAAAACCAGCCTATGGATCGCGAGTCAGTCTTTTCTGTGTGTTTTAGCAATCTACGAAATATGAAGGAAGCGATTAGGCCAGATAGTTGGAATTAGACTTATATCCCGGTATTTGTAACATAAATGACAAGGACCTTTTTTAAAGATAGGGACAGTTGTTGACTCACCCCATAATGTTGGAGTACTCCATATATATCAGAACGCCATACTAATAGGTGATCTTGTGCTAATGCATGATCGTTTGTCTGCTACAACTTACTCTTCTCTGTTGAGGTAGTTAGAATTAAGTGTGACGTCAGTAAAGCTTTCCAACTATTTACAGTAGCGTTAAATCGTTGTGTTTCCAGGAATTTAATTTATTAATCAGTCTTTTTCCCCTTGAATCAAAGCTTGTTTGATAAATGTTTTCACTTTCACAATAGTGATTGAAAGTGATTTATAGAAATTCAAAAGACAATATTTAGTAGGCTTTACAAGCATCAAAATCTGACTTCAAGGCCGTTAACTTGGTCAAATTGCCAGGTTTATGAAAATGTGCTCACCTGGTCACCTTTATTTTTAACTAGTAAAGGTTCGATCTTTTGGAAAGTTTCACTTTTTCTTATGCCTCTACACTACCTATTTTAAAAATAAAGAAATACACTTACAGTAATCCTCGGCTGACATTAATTAAAAAACTATGTTTCACATTAATGGAGGTCTGCCTTAAATGCTTTCAGCCATCATATGCAGCATAGGAGGTTGTGTGTATATATTTTAGTACACTCTGATGCACCCAACATATGAAGCTCACAAGAAGAAAATATTACAAGTGAGATAAATTAGACATGTAACGAGAAGTAAAAAGTAAACTTTTCTTCAAAATCAGACGGACGATTTTAATATGCAAAATAGAATTTTTTAGATTGACGATGAAGAGAAATTAACGTTGTATGCAGTCGCTAGTCTATCAGTGTTATTAGAGCCAAATTAACCCAAGTTTCGATTAGTAGACTCGATGCGACATTCCGATGTGGAAATTCTCAACAATAACCGTATGTACGCTTCAATTCCTCTCCCAGTTGCACGAAACTGGTTATAATGCATACGTAAAATCAGCGTGAACAGTTTATTATCGTCTTACCTTAAGGTATATTCTTTTGCGCTGGAATGACTCCAATGAAGGCACTTGCACTTACTCTGTGTATAGGAAAATTAAGATCGTAATCCGTCCATCACAGTGGAATAGCTTGTGGTAGTCGCTTTTCTGTTTCTGCTTGGTAAGGTCCGAAATGTAATCTTGAACGCGAAACATATGTATACTAGTATATCATTCTTATGCACATGTACAAACTACATTCTGCAGGAATGAAAGGTTATCACTGACTTGTTTCTCAGTAGTTAAATATATTTTAAATACTTCTCTGTAATAATCGATATAATAGGTAAGAAAATTTATTGTGCGCACAAGCGAATCAGTAAAATACTTGTGACCTACCAGTCACATCGAGGTTGGCTAGGCCTCTTAAAGGGAAGCCTATTGGCTTTTCTGATGCAGGATATCTGTTTTGGAAGAACACTTACTCGATGTAGGTAAATGCTTTTAGTGGGAAATCTTAGGGACCTCACAGCTGAGTCTGCGGGCGTCTCACCAAGCATAAGTACACTTTCTATGCACACCGATAATAAACTCTCACTTACGTATCCCAAGGCACTTAAATATAATCGCTCCTATACACGTATTTGCTGCTTCTAAACGGTGCTCATGCTTTACAAGCATATGACTAGCACTTAAGTTCTCTCCCACACTCAGGGATAAGCACTCTAAGAGAGACCTGGTAGTCACCTCTATTTGGCACCTTTTTCTGGCTTACAGACCTGTTTTTATTCGCTTTGGTAAGAGGGTAGACCATATTTCTTGGTACAGTGTGGACTAGCCTGGCGTGTACTCTTTGCGTATACCTACACAAATAAACTACATGAATTGAAAGGAAGCCCTCTGTCGTTTTCCGAGTAGTCCAAGTTATAACAAAGTAGTGGGTTAGTGTGATCTCCACCGACCACCCAAATTAGCTAACATGGTTTCCTATATAAATCGAAAGGACCATAGGACCTCCTTTGGTCGTATTTTTCTACGAATGATCATAGATGAAGCTAGAGGTTGGAAGTCGAAATAATAAAAACACAACAATTGAAACCCTAAATTCCGTCTGTAGCTGCCTTAACCCAGCTTTTAATTTGTGTTTCTCTCAATTGATTTTTTCTATCTATCATACGTTTTATTATTTCGTACATCATATTATTTGCTGCATTATCTTTCTATTTGCGATAGGCAATTTTATTCTCTTCCATCTCACTTTTTTCACTAATTATCCCTAGTATCATATGTCTCGCATTGTTCACTGCCTTTAAGCTTGTTGCACTCATATCATCTATAACACATATTGAAATATCTCATAAAAGGATGGTCTTATAATTAGTTCTCAACCAAGGAGATCTGATTGATGGGCAGAACACCTCAGATATCAGTCCAACTGGTCTTCAGCCACATTCAGGTCTCCCACGATCCCCGGTCAACCTAAATGACAAATCAGTATAATTCCTGCGACAAAAAATTGAAAAATCTATAGGAAACCTGAAGGGAGGAAGAGCAGTCGGGCCTGACAGGCTTCCCTATAACATTTCTAAGGAAGTTGGCTTTGTTTTAACAGTCAGATTGACTGAGATCTCAGGTAGAATCTGGGAACTGGGCATAACCCCATCTGACTGGTCTCAATCACTGATTATCCTAGTCTACAAAAAAAGACAAAAGTCCTCTTATGACAGTCACAGAGGAATCAGTCTAACTAATATAGTATCGAAAATATTGGCCTCAGTAATACTCCGACGCATAACTAGAGCCCGTGAAGAGCAGACTAGACAAAACCAGTCTCGTTTTCGGCCTGGATTTGGATGCATAGATCAGACATTCACATTACGTTGGGTCAGAGAACGTAGACGCACGTTCAGCCATTCTAAAATAGTAGTATTACTCGACCTTAGAGCGCCGTTCGAATCTGTCGATCGTGAGGTTCTGTGGCAGTCTCATTGAAAGAAGTACCAAAAAATGCATTAACCTTATACAGGATCTCTACACGAACACTACTGGTCGAGTGAGAACTTATAGTGAACTGTCATCGGAATCGATTACTTCAAGTGGTGTCCACTCTCCCCATTCTTGTTTAACTTTGTCGTAGATATGCTTTTAGAGCTAACATTATCATTGTCTGGCTTTATAAGGGTGGAACTTCTACCAGGAGACTAGCTTGTTGACTTAGAGTATGCCAATGACATAGTCCTATTCGGTAAAGACGCCGACAGAATGCAGAGTTCTGACAAACCTAAGCAACAATGCAAGCATGTTGGAGATGAGATCCTACCCGTCGAAATGCAAAATGTTACTTCAAGATTGGCTTGCATCGGCACCTGAACTAGTGATAGGGAGTGAAGTAGCTGAGCGTGTTGACCGCTTCATTTATTTCGGGAGTCTCATCAGTGCTGATAGTCTGGTGACTGACGAAATCTTAACACAGATACAGAAGGCTCGATTGGCTTTTGCCAACTTGCGTCACCGATGTTGTAGGCGAGATATCCGTTTGCTGGCTAAAGAACGAGTCTATTGTACAGCAGTTCTCTCTGTCCTACTATATGGATGCGAGACATGGGCAGAAAGAGTTAAGGATATTCGTAGGCCATTAGTGTTCGATCATAGATGTCTTCGAAGCATTGCTAGAATATCCAGGGTCCATTGATTAAGTAATGCTGGTGTTAGAAAAGGGGCATTATTTAAGGATGGTAGATCAGTTGATGAAGTAGTGAATGTTCATCAGTTGAAGTGATGGGGACATGCTTGACGCATGCCTACCCACCGACTGCCTCGACGAGCTATATTTTGTGGTGTAGGAGTTGGTTGAAAGAAAGTCAGGGGCTGCCAAGCCAAAATAGGCACTAGTTCATGAAATCATTCACAAGTGGACTGATTCATGTTTGTAAGTGTAGACTACCAGGTCAGGATCCGCGAGATGATAGTAACCGATGGTTAGATACCTTGAATGACGTAAATGAAAATGGTTCTCAATGGCGCAGGCGCATCCATTGTGTTCTCTCAAATTCCAATTTTCTGAATTCCTCATGACCATTTTCCTATTTTTAGATTGATTCCACTGTGATATACTTCTCGAAGCATATCTTCGGTTCCTAATCTCTTCGATTACTACTGATGCTTCTACTACCTCCATTATTATGGGATTTGAACTGACAATTGCTTCTCTGTGCTAATGTAGAATGGCAGCCCGAACTTATGTACGTACGTACGAAGTTCTACGTTGTACCTGACTTTCTGAAACCATGTATTGGTATAGCTATCACTGCTGTTACTATTGCCTTTGTTTTTGTTTTTATATTATTATTATTATTATTATTATTATTATTATTATTATTATTATTAAACCTTAGAATTGGTCTGTTTTATTTTTGCATGTTTTTCATTCATTATGTTGTCTTGGATAACCCCGTCTGGGGGACCTGTAATTGCAGTAAAGGTCAATTACTTAAATGAATTTATGATTTACCGCACTTTTCATTTCAAATTTCTTTAACCTCGCTACTTTCATTTATGACCACTGTCTTTGTGTTCGCATTCAGTGTTTTAGTGTCGACTCTTTCAAGGCAATCTTGTAAGCTGTTCAGTCCTTTTGTTCCTTCATGTACTGTTGTCGTAATTATACACAAATCACCCGCATATTCAGTATGCCATATTGTTTATGCTTCCTTGTTCTTATCTATTTTTTCCATACCAGTGTCTGTTTTGTCTACCATTTCTTGTCAGATCTCTTGAAATTCATAGTTAAAGAGGAGTAGTCTTTCTTTACTGTCTTGTTTGACAGTTTTATTCATTGTGAAATATAGATTTGTTCCAATCGGACGTCCTTTGGCTAATCTAGGAGTCTCCTTATGTTCTCATATAAGTTTAGTTCATTTAGGGTTTTCACTAGCAATTCTTCTATAGCTGTATCAAATATTTTGGTCAGATCAATAAATGTGAGGAAAGTTTTAGTTATATATATATATATATATATATATATATATATATATATATATATATAATTTTTAACCCTAAAATTTTCAGTTTTCACTTGATATCACGACGTGCTAGTGGACCATTATGACAATAGAAGATCCAGACCTTGAGGCTGGAAAGTAAGTTGCCATACTTTACACAAACTTTTTAGGAATATCGATGTTGACGAACTACTAGCGTCATGTACGTTTTACGCTTTAATAATTAAGTGTAGTTAAAATTGACTTACCTGATGAACAAACCGATCCTGAAAAATCTCTGCGCAAGGAATTATTATCACTTAAGCAAATGGTAGGGTTTGTGTGATTTTTACCTGCCTATTTAGAGGAGAACTTTAACTGATATTGACCATGAGGTTAAAAAGTGTGAACGGAAAGAAGAGAAGTCAAAAGGTTTGTTTCGCTTTTTTAATGATGTGGAAATAAAGCTATGAAACCAAGGGAAAAAGCTAAAGAAGAAGCGATGAAACTTCTTAAATCTGGTGCAATATCAATCGAAAACAAAAACGAGCGTTACACTTTTAAACGTAAACCTAAGGTTAGTGATTCGATAATGTGGACTGTCGTTACATACAGGAAAATGAAGAAGAGGAAGTATCTGGACCTAATGTAAGTATAATGAATTAGTTCTTAACCTGAAAAATTAGTTGAACTCTAAGGTTAAACAGTCACTCTACCGCAATTTTCTACCTGGTCCAACACTTAACCCATTGCGATCAGAAGAAAAAAAACTAGATGGCCCATCTAATTCTAAAGTAGCTACTTCAGAAGCAAGCTGTACGGATGTTTCTGAAACTTTACAAACTAAAAGAAAACAGCAGTTCAACCTCCTATTGGATGATAAAAATATGGATACGGATCAAGTATTCATATAATTTTTCTTATTTAAAGATATCAGATGTTCCAGATTCATGCAACGTTGATCAGTTACATACTCCAAACCGACCAACGCATTCTACCTTATATGTTGGGTATCATAATATCACTGAACCTTTTATTCTCGATGTCTTCAAGTCTCATGGTACTGTTGTAAGGATTAAGATTGGTGATCCCCCCAAGTACGTCTCTGGTGTTTTAAAAACGTTTAATAATTTTTCAGAAGTTCTAGCTAGTTTTATGATCTGTGCATTACAATTTCCTGTTACAATTTATCTATAAAAATAAATGAGTTTATTTTTATAACCTCAGTATATTTTGATGTGGTCGTTTAGAAAACCAAAAACATGCATAATACACCTCGTTTCAAAATATAAACCAGCTTTAAGACAGGTTATTTAAATTTTACCCCCGAATGCCTTGGTGTGATCGAAAGTGGGAAAAGTCTGCTCTTCCTCTCTAAATGCTCTCATATGGCCGTGCGTATATAGCCACTGCTAGAAAAGTCCAACTCACCACCTCGTGGCGTGGTTGTTGTTTACGAAAATGGTGCACATGGACCCTAGTGTCCTAACGAAACAAATGAAGTATGAACCTTTTGTTGTTCACCGGCTACTATAGGATTGCAACTCCTAACATTGCTCAACAACCTTATGGATTCGACTTCTGGGTCAAAGGCTCCTGCATTAGCTTAACAGGAAAACCACCTGCTTCAGTTTGGGCATCTGAGCAACATCATAGCCCATACGCAAACTAAATGATGACAGTAATTGAAACATTACTTGCCCGTTTCAATTCTCATGCTCTCTGATTGTACTCAAAATATTTAGTACTATTCGTTTTTATTTTATATTGTATTATTTTTTATCCCTTTATTCCTATTCGGCTTATTTTTTACTCTTAAACTCATACAGCAGCTGATGAAAATCTAGTCCTATCTAAATGATCTATAGTTCCTGGCTGGTCGAAAGTTGAATGCTGTCACCGAGTACGCATTTTTAATCAGCCTTTCTGAAACTACGCATGCTATTCAAACTTGTCTCCAACGTTCGTACACTAATACAGATTAGATAAAGGATATAGGGTTGGCTATGTTTCCAGAAAATTTGAACACCGATATCTGTCGTCAACCCGAGACCTATACTCAATACTCTCGTGACGTACATAAAGTTTGCTCTCCATCTGTCGCTTCGAAAAGCTTGTTTTGCTTAGATTTATTCTTGGATCTTGTTGCATGTTCGTCTAGTTTTATTGGCGTTAGTGTCGCTGTTAGATCAAAGAGCTCCATCAAAGTGAGAAGTCAATATGATAAACGATGCCTTTTAGTCATCTCCATCTACGCCTCGACAGATTGTAGCGCAGATGCAATCAAAGAGGAGTTCTACCACCATTTGTGTAACCTCCAGCAAGCGTGTTCGACAGATACTGTAAGAGTAGCCGGAGACTTGGATGCACCGGTTGGGCTTCTGGGTGGCCAATGGCGACTTGTCGATCTCAGGTCAGATAACAACGATCGTCTAATGCAACTGCATAGACTACAACCTGTCTCTAGCCTGACATCAACTATCTGCGATATCATCGCCAATTTGCTGCCTGGCGTGCTCCCTCTGCATCTCAAACCTGGATGTAGATTGACTGGCTGTGTACAAGACTCGCTCTTTTTGGAGTATTTATCTGGGTTCTGACAATGCCCCTGTACGCTCTTGTCTTCTCTTACGTTTCAGTGGCTTAATTTATCGTCCTAAACGGATCGATTTCAGGAAGTTGGTTGTAAGTTCTGTTCGAAGGCTAGATATCGACCCGCTAAAAATTATAGATAAGCACTGGCCGCAATCGTGCGACGGCATGAAAATGGAGAATAAAGTGGCTTGTGGCTTCACGAAACATCTTGCCTATTAGCATTAGGTTTCTGCAAGCTCCTTACAACTCGTTGAGACACATCGATCTGTTGTTACGCAATCAAATATTGCAAAGTTTGCTTGAGTACCGAGAAATCTGATGGTTGGAGAGTGTTAATGATTTGAAACTATCAGCTTCACTTGATTACTACTGGAAGCTCTTTTAGTTTATCCAAGTCATTGGCACCAAGAAATTTGGTGTGAGTGAAATAATTCATGAAGCCAATGAGACACCAATCGATAACATTCCCTCACGTCTTGAGTGACGAATAGAGATTTTCCAGGAATAGTTCATCTGGTCTATCACCCCGACGACATCGATCACACTGTCCTGTTTCCCATGATGAATCAATTACCTGAAGAAAGACTTTTCAACCATGAGTGTGCGGATGATATTGTCTTACTTTGCAAAGACTTCCATGCCATAAATCTGCACTTAGTCAGTTGGGAATCAGTGTCTATGGGAGTCGCATGAGCTCTTCACTTTCGAAGTGAAAAGTACTTTGACAAGACTGGCAGGACCCTTAACCTGCACTCACTCTTGTTAGTGAGCGAATAGAGGTAGTAGAAAAGTTCTGGTACCTGGCTAGCTGTGTAAGTGCTGGTGGTGGAGTGAGTAATGAGATGATTTCATGAATAGTGAAAGCCAAAACGACTCATGCCAATCTAGGCTATCTTTATCACCTTCGTGATGTTAGTCTGTCTGTAAAGGGTGGGGTCTACAATGCGTTGGTAAGAGCATTTTTGTTCTATGCTTATTAGACTTGGTCTCTCTGAGTCAAATATGTTTGAAAGCTTTCTGTGTTCGATCATCGTTGTGTCTGAAGGATTGTTGGCATCGCCGGCAACACTATGTTAGTAATGCAGAGGTTTGTCAACGTATATTCGGGCACAGCAACGACAGTTCAGTTAGTGTCATGATCGTGAAACACTGACTTCGATGGCTTGGGCACGTACTACGAATGTCGTCCCGGAGAATTCCAGATCTTGTATTATTTGCCAACTCTGGGACTGGTTGAAAAAAGGGGAGAGGTGGTCAGTGAATGATATATCGTCGTGGTATGCAGGAAAACTGCACATGACTGGCATCTATCGGTCCTTTATGACTCCTTGGTTTAGGTTCTAGGGCTAGTTCAACGCATTTGACTGAGATGTTACGAGAAATTGCTTAGAATAGAAGCCACTGTCTGTCAGCAAGTCCTGCTGTCACCTTTTTATTTTCCTTTAAGCAAGTGGAACCAGATAGCGTATTGTTGCTTAGATTTCCGAATAGTTTTGTTAATGGTTCTATCTATTGACAGAAACCCTACTCTAAAAGATGGATTTACAAAAACTGATTTATTTTCATTTGTTATTTGATACTATTAAATATGTTAAGCTGTCATACTGTCTGATCAACTCCACCTTTACAAAGTTAAAGGGATATTTTGGACATTAACGGTAATTGATTCTAGGGATCCTTTCAACATAAATTTATCAGTTTTTCAAGTATTATTGAGAGTTTACTATAGATGATATACTTCATATAACTACCTCACACAATATATTTGTCATTTATTTTCGTCTATGATTTCAAGTAAATTACGTTTTACTCTTATGTTTTTATTTTGCTACACAATTAACTGATTTATTTTAGCCATGCATACGTTACAATGGCAACCAATCAAATGGCCCAAAGTGCATTAAAAGTAAGGGAAGTAACTAATTATTTCTTTGGATTTTAGCTAGATCACCAAATGGTAAGCAATCGTCTTTTGCGTGTTTCTTATGCTCGGAGACCTTTCCACGGGAAACCTTTTTCGCCGACAAAATACAGTCAAAGTAAGTTTCGTTGCTTACTGACATAGCATTCGTATTCTGATTTATTAACTTGTTCTTGTTTCTCTTCATAATTAATTTTACCCTATAGATCAAAAATATGTTCATATTAGCGTGTGAATTATCATGTAGTAATGCATTTAGATTTTTTGTTCTTAATTATTGGTTTCATATTACATAAAACAGAACACAATGATTTTGTCACGAGTATCTGTGAACTCATCAAAATAGCTCCTTTGCTTTTGATTTTTTTCAAACATACGATCAGTATGATAAAAAATTTATGTAATCATTTTTGAGTCATTTTTTTCCAGGGGCGCTAGCGATGCTACCCAAATTATCAAGCTGAAGTAGGCAAAGTGAAGTACTGTTTGTTATTGAGAAAAATTTGTTTTCCTTACTGTTTTTCACAGCGAACTTTAATGAGGTTATAGAAGTGCTGAAAGTAACTTTCTCTTCTCTATAATATAGGTCGGTCATTTCGGAAAACAACTTTCTGTAACCCTTTTTCTTCGAATGAAGAGCCTTCAAACCGAACATCAAATGAACTCAATCGAGATCTAGTTACTTATGAAGACCTATATTCTGATAAATAAAATGTACAGTTATATTTAATAAAATTTTTAACGAAAATTGATCTGTTGGTTTATTTCAACCCACGTATGACTGTATATTTCCTGTTCGTTTGAAAATTTGTTCTGTTGATATTGCCGTCCGTAACACACGAAAAGGTCTATTCCTAAGGTAGATATTAACTATTCTTTTAGCCTTATATAGATTTTGTAGAGTGAGAAGTTCACATAAGTTTTGTCTAATGGGAATCGTAATCTTTACTTGGTTAGACATACACAATGTAGAACCTAGTCCAAAAATTTCCCTCGTCTAGTTACCGTACTTCACATAGTGATAACGATGAAACAAAAAAGGAAATAAAGTTGATAATTGTACTGGTGAGTTACTGGATATTAAAAGTAGTCGATAGGAACAAACGGGATCGGAAAATGAGCAGTATAAAATAATACTAGGTTCAAAATTTAGACGAAATATAAGTAAAAAAAATGCTCATTTGCCTCCTCGAATTCGAATAATGTTACCCCAAGTTTTCAGATAAATATTGCTATTGTCTCTAACGCTGCTGTGACCATATCTAGTTATATGATATATCTAACCAGTAAATAGTAGTTTTGGAAAAACATCATTTCTTAGTGTAGCATACTTTGTTATTTGGTTAATCGAAACTTCACTCATAAATGTGACACTTCTAGGAAGATTCTGACTGATATAGTGCATTTCCCAACGTTATCAATTGCTTCAATTTTAATACTTCGTGGGATAATTATCTGTTTGTTCCATGTTTCAACAACAATCAGGTGGTATTACTATGGTCCATACTAAGCTGAGATTTAAGTTAGACTAAGGAAATTTTACATAATCTCAATTAATTGGTTCCGATCTTTGATCATTCTAGGCTATAAAAAAGCACACAAATCTTATGATAAACACTGATGAACCAATCTAACTTATAAGCTCTCTAAGATAATAGCGTCAGTAGATATCCGTTTTCTTAGTTAGGGCTCCTAAAAAACGAACGCAGGAAGAACCATTTTCGTTTCAAGTCTAGAAGGAATCTCGGAACGTCCAAATTACAACGTCACACCAACCCATGCAGCGATTTACTGTTGAACCAAAGGATGTTGATCGGTTCAGACTACCTGGTTAGGGTCCGCATAATTATCTCAGCCAGTGGCTAAGAACTGTAAGTGATCTGGTTCAGAATTGCTCGTAGCCACACAAGTGCATCCACCTTTTGTCTTAGATTAGATCCCGAGTTGCTAAATTACCCTAGTTTTTCCTAGCTTTCTATACCTAATTTCCTTACCACTAATGACACTGTTACTCATTTATTGCCGGATTTGTCTGAATAGTTTCATCTCGTTGCGCTAATGAAGTATGGTAGCCTAAATGAATGTGTGCATATGTCAGGTTCCACATTGCACATGACTGGCTGATGTGAATTGCTGGTTACACTGACCACCTAATTCGTGACTGAATAGCTGAATAAAGGTTAGGATATTCGTCTTTAAAGTTAGTCATACTACTTAGTTTGATAGGCCGGAGTAAGTGATGTGGTCTTTATGTTTAAAACTTAGTTGTGCTGTAACCGGTAAACCGCAGTCTAGAATAATGCAGGGATAAGAGAATTGTGCAATGTACCGTAGGGTCACGTCAAACTGTTAGGCAAAATAGCCGGGTGGATTGGTTTCAGATTAAAGGCCACGATATGAATGACACATCTATCAGCCAAACAGAACTCTGTACTAGACGAATGGCTCATTGAGACAGCCAAATGATATCAGTTTAAATGTATGTGCCAAATCACTCACTGGAGGAACAGAAAAGGATGATTGACATCCTCATCTGCAAGCTCATTCTACGAAAACCTAAATTGAATGGACACCCCACTTAGTATCGTAATTTCCTGGCGGTGGACATGATAATGTGCTAAAGACTAGATAAACTTGCTATTTATTATCTTTATACCGAAACAGTTTCCGAATGTATGCATACAGTAAAGGTTAGTTATCAATTTAGTTTTTCTGTGGTGGTTTCGGCCACAAATTCCTTAACTTTTCTGATCATCATAGTAAGTATAATCCCTTATTTCTTGTCCAGTCTGTATATGGCTCGTCCATTATTTGTAGTTTTACCTACTACACAACAGTAGAATAATGTTTCATGCCATTTATAAAAATTTTGTTTCCATGCTCTCTATTTTTCTCTTAGGATGAGCTCATATTCGGCAACCTTATGAACAAACCTAATCCCTCTGCAGTCGTTGTCTTCCGTTAATCTACTTGCATCAAACCTGTTTTCTCTTACATAGAATATGTGTATTGTATTACTTTATAAGTAATTGATTCATTTATGATTGGTAAGCGGGTGAATTGAATCTTCGAAATAAAAAAAATTCTTATTAGTCTGCTTCCGCCTCCCATACTACTGCAGTCAGATAAACAGTAGTCGATCGCTTATTAATAAGGAATTACATTTCATAGAAAAAAAAGGCATTATTATGTATCACCAAGTTTAACCATGACGTTTGTTGACTTAATAATAAATCAGAATAATATCACTCCACGAACTTTTATTTGTTTTCTAATTTATTTCTCAATAAAACAACCGGTATCATTCATGGTATTTAAAAAGCGGCAAATTATATCAGTATGAATCAACTTATGTACGACCTTTGTTATAGCTTCAATTCCTTTTTACTTTTGTTCTAGTACATGTTCAGATTCAATGGTGAATCCTTCACGGAATGTAAAAGAATTCACATATATGAAGGAGCAAATCAATTAAGATATTTCCGTTATATAGGTGCATTTTGTGCAGTCCACACAATCATGTGGGGTTTTATAACTTACAATCGGCAAATCATACAAAATGCTAATAACGCATTCAAGCTTCGCAAAGAAACCATGTTTCAAGACTATTCGTGGTACAAATCTTATAAGAAGGTTACAGACAGTATTAATGCGAATTTGGAGACTGAACAAATTGATTCTTGGTTAACAGCTGTACTTGGTAGGTGTTAAATTTTTAGTACAAAATAATACGTGTTGTGTGATTGGTTGTTAAAGACAATAGATTTTTAAAAATCCTAAAACTGACATAAATAGTCAATGAAAACAAGACTAACAAGCGATCCAACAATTTTATATAGTATACCATACGGTTAGATTAATCGGTTAGTGGGTTAGCTGCAACGTAGAACTTCGTACGTACGTACATAAGTTCAGGTTGTCATACTAAAGGACCTGTCGTAGGGTGAAACTGTGGTCTATATATCAACATCCAGGTCTCAAACCAGCCTGGTTTTGTTGAGCTCTAGTTAGGCATCAAATTATTATCAAAGCCAATATTTTAGATACTATATTAGTTAGACTGATTCCTCTGTGATTGTTGTAGGAGGAGTGTTGTCCTTTCTTATACACTGGAACAATCACTGATTGAGACCAGTCAGATGGGATTAGGTTCAGTACCCGAATTCTTCTTAAGATCTCGGTCACTTTAACTGCTTAAACTGGATCACCATCTTTAAGAATCTCAGGGGTCATTTTATCAGGCTCATCACAGTCACATGCATACTCAACTAAGGAGTTAGACTTACTGTTGCTTTTGAAGTTCGTAGGAAATTACTATCATCCACATCGACTTAAATTAAATTCCCAGTTCAATAGTTCGAAAGCACGTAGATATCATTAAAAATAACCGACTTGTGAAAAGTCACTGCTTCTTTGATGTGTTGATGTTACTTGCAAATCAAAGGCAGTAGAATATTTTAGTTGTCTTACTAAGTGAATTGCTTAGAGGATACATCGTGTCTGACAGCCCAGTTCTTTAGTTTGGTCATAATTGGTGTCCGATGAGTCCTATCTGAGAGGTACATCTATAGCTTCTAGGATGTAATGTCTTAGATATGGACGTCGCTTTTACCAGGCCCTATTATCCACCCTTCAGCATGGATAAGTTAATGATAATGCCCATACATATACATCACTTCAATCTTATTATCAGTATGAGTGACTAGATCAAATATAAGGTTAGCAGTCCCTCTACAACTTCATACTGAATCTGAGGGTATTTCTGATAATTGTCACTAGATACGCTTGCTTATTTTCCCAATTATTGTAGTATATTCAGTAAGAATTTGATAAATTTGCCGTGATATGATGAATAGGGTTTATTATAATCTACGATAATAATTCTTATAAAATTTAGCATAGGTTTTTCTGTACTAACTCAGTTTATGAGTTTTACATTAGAAACAAACTACTGATCTACTCGAAAACAATAATTCCCATATGAGCCAATATTCTGCAACCTCAGTGTTCAAGATTATTATTAAAACTAGCATTTCCTTTCACTTAGCACGAATATATCATAGTACTATTAGTTGTTTTTTTTATGAGAGATGAATTATCTAAGTGAAGTATATGATTTTTGCATTTTAAAACAAGACAGAAATTAGTGTAAGTTACTTTTAAATCACTTAACATTTTAACGATTCTATAAGGATAGTTCAGGTGTAAACGTGAAACTTACTCTTTTAGTTACGAAGATCACATACAAATTTTATGATCTCATACTAAGATGAAAGCGTTTCTAGAAATTTGAGAATGACCACCTATGTCGTTGTCAGTAACAATAGTCGGACTCTAACCAGTCATCGTATAACTAGATGGTTAAAAATTGTAAACATTAATTTTTCTAAGATGAATCATTATTATTATACATAAAAATACTTTCAGCCTTTTCTACATTACTTGGAGGAATCCTTTTACCGCGTCGTATGATTCGCAACGTAACTCTAATAACCGCACAGAATAACAAAACTTCGACACTAGAGAAATTTATTGAGATTGGCACCTATGGAGGTTTCGGTATTAAAAGTAGCGGCAGGACATTCAAGCGACCATTGAAATATATATCGTTTGATTGCAAATCACCATACTCTGATGTATCCAAAGTAAATATTCACGTCAAATATGTACCTATCCGTTTCTTACTTGATTTACAAAGAGTAGAACATATTGATGACAATGAATTGTTGTCCCTAATGTACCAAGTTAATAAGAAGTGAAATGATCAATTTTGTAATGAATGTAATGTGCTATTTTGTGTTACTGGGTAAATAATATGAATGCTTTTAGACAAGATTTATGTAAAATTAGGGATTTTTAATTCAATGTAACAATTTGGCATGAATAACATCTCATTCATAAATGATGCTATTTACAAACATCCCATTTTTGTTTATTTCTCTACTTTTATTTAACACTCCCATTCAAACTGATAGGCTTAGCTAAAACCTGAGATGATCTCGTTACTGATGTGTTCGCACGAGAAATCCATGTTTAAGATTGTAATGAATTACTCAAAAAATCGATATCCGCTTACTGACTCGAAAAGTACATTCCATGTGAGTTTATACTACTACTGTGGCACCGATGTCACATCCTATGCAAAGCGTTTATTAAATGGATCAATTTTAAGGATGATTTGTTCGACGCTATACTATTATTTCGGTGTACCTTATTGCTGTCATCCACACTCCAACGGATTGTAACCAAGGATGAGTTCTGCTGATTGAATGGTTTGAAAAAGACATGTTCGACAAATATTATGATACTAGTTGAAGACGGTATCGTCTTCATTCCTAAAGTTTTATGCGTAAACTGCTTTCTGTGATTTCCAAGTTCTGTAGTTAACATCACGTGCTAACCTTATTTAGATGGCCATCAGAAACGAGGAGGGTTACTATTAGTCTTTTTACATAAAATCTCAATTCACACTACGCAATACTAGTTTTTTCACGTGAATCTTATTTTTATGTGATGTCTCACTTTCAGTTGATGCGCCACGAAAGTCAGATTGAATGTTAAACTATCTAGGATCACTATAATAGTAAGTACTAGCTGGATGACTATTAGTGGTGCATACTGTGACGAGTTCTGTCTTCGATTCGTCAGTCAAATTATTCGGAGAAATAATTCATATTATCTAAATTCCCTATGTAACAATACTAAAGCAATATAGCTTCCGTGTGGATTCAATTGTGAACAGGATACTAGGTATGAATAGATTAGTAAATATATTTCTTAGGAGCAACTATAGTCCTCTCTTTCTACGTCAGTACATTGTCGGCTCCGATATCTTAATAAGAGAAACTAGGAATGATTATAGATTGGCTTCAAAGTCACAAGATATCCAAGTCGTAATATAGGGGACGACGGCACTCATGCTTGCTTCCCAAAGCCATTTTTAACCTTGACCAGTATGAGTCAAATAGGGCAACCTTAATTAATACTAATTAAGGTTCATATTGCCATACCACATTAGCACAGAGATGTAATTATCCATTCAAATCCAATAGTAGTAGGGGTAGTAATAGTATTAGCAGTAGTCACAGAGGTTAGGATTAGAAGATATTATTCAAGAAGTAGAATCTAGTGAAACAAACTTAAAAAGAAAAAGATAGAGGTGATGAGGAATTCAGAAGATTAGAATTTGAGAGATCACAAAGAATAAATGCACCTGCGCCAGTGCAAACGGTTTTGAGCCATGTCATTCAGGGTCTCTAGCCATCGATTAGTAACATATCGCGGACCCCAACCAGGTAGTCGACAACTACCGACATGGCTCAGTCCACTAGTCAATGACTTCATGGATTTTTGCCATGTTTTGGCTTGGACGCCCCTGACTTTCTTCCAACTTATTCCCACACTACAAGACAAAGCTCTTCGAGGTAGTCGGCGGTTAGGTATACGCAGCAAATGTCCCAACCACCTCAACTGACGAAGTTTCATTACTTCATCTATTGATCTGCCATTCTTACCTAGTACCCGTTTCCTAATAACAGCGTTGCTCACTCGGGTGTCCCACGATGTACGAGCAATGCTTCGAAGACATCTATGATCGAAAACCAATAACCGACGAGTATCTTCTACTCTCATTGGCCATGTTTCACAGCCATAAAGTAAGACGGAGCGAACCACTGCGCAGTACACTCGTCCTTTAGTCAGCAAACGGATATCTCGCCTACGCCATAAGTGACGCAGGTTGGCAAAAGCCAATCGAGCCTTCTGTATCCGTGCCGAGATTTCGTCAGTCAACAGGCCATCAGCACTGACGAGACTCCCAAGATAAGTGAAGCGGTCTACACGTTCGACCACTTCACTCCCTATCACTAGTTCAGGTGCCGATGCAACCCAATCTTGAAGCAACATTTTGCATTTCGAGGGGGAAAACCGCATTCCGAACATGCTTGCATTGTTGCTTAGGGTGGTCAGAAGACTGCATTTTGTCAGCGCCTTCACCAAGTAGGACAATGTCATCGGCATATTCTAAGTCAATAAGCGAGCCAGCAGGTAAAAGGTCTACTCCAGAAAATTCAGACGAGGATAAGGTTATTTCTAGGAGCATGTCTATGATAAAATTAAACAAGAATGGGGAAAGTGGACATCCGTGACGGACACCACTTGAAGTAAAGAATCCCGTTGACAGTTCGCCATAAGCTCCCACTCGACCAGTGGTGTTTGAGTAGAGAGCTTGTATGAGGTTAATGTACTTCTTTGGTACACCTTTCAATGACAGACACTGCCACAGAACCTCACGATCCACTGAGTCAAATGCCGCTTTTAGGTCCAGGAAAACAACTATTGTAGGACGCCTAAACGTGTGTCTGTGTTCCAGGACCTGTCGTAGTGTGAAAATGTGGTCTATACAGCCACGTCCAGGTCGAAAACCAGATTGGTTTTCTCGAGTTTGCTCTTCACGCGCTTTCGTTAAGCGTCGAAGTATTATTGAGGCCAATATTTTAGATACTATATTAGTTAGACTTATTCCTCTGTGATTGTCACAAGAAGACTTCTGCCCTTTCTTATAGATTAGGACAATCAGTGATTGAGACCAGTTGGATGGGATTACGTCCAGTTCCCAGATCCTATCTGAGATCTCAGTCAACCTAGCTGCTAAAACTGGACCACCATCCTTAAATATCTCAGGGGTCAGTCTATCAGGACCTGCAGCTCGCCCTCGTTTCAGATTTCCTAATGCTTTCTCAACGTCATTAAGACTAGGGGGACTTTGGTCGATTTGCCATTTAGGATGACTGGAGATCGCGGGTAACCGAAGAGTGGCTCGAGGCCAGTTGAACTGATACCTAAAGTGTTCTGCCGATTGGTCCATTCTCCTGGATTGAGAATAAATAATAGTCCCATCACTTCCCGAGTTAGTCTCACTTACACTAGGATTCCTAATACCAGTTTCCTTGATAAGTCGGAAAAGTTGTCTAGTCTTGCCAATCGCCGCTGCTTTTTCCATCTCTCTCGCTTTCTCCACCCACCACTGTTCTCGATCATTGCGTACGCTTTTTTTTCAGCCTACGTCTTAGCTGACTCCGCTCCTCAGAACCAGGCGGGATGAGTTTTCGAGCATCCATCAGTTCGGTGGATGCGACTGAAATTCAAGGGTTCATCCTAGCCTTATGGTCAACCTTACTAGCAGATATCACTGCTGTTTCCACAGCCATTTTGATATCATTCCATCCTGCTTCCGGATGAGAATCGCTTACATGGTTGCCTTACTGTTTCTAGTTGCTCCTGAAATATTTTCTTAGTTTATCATTAAGTGAAACCCTAAGAGGCTTCTTTACGGTGTCTTTCCTACGTCCAGTAAGCCTCAAACAGACACGAGCTCGCACTAGGGCATGATCTAAATCTAAACATGTGCCGCAGTCCTCTAACGAACACCTGCATTGGTGGCTGATGGCAATGTGATCTGGTTGAGTCCAACGTTGAGACGACTTCCGAGGTCGCCAGATGCTTTTCCTTATGCCTAAAGTTAGTGTTTGCTAAGAATAGGCAGTTATCTGAGCATAGTTGCAACAGACGGTCGCCATTGTCTGTTCTCTGAGCCGCGACACCATAACATCCACCTAGGTGTCTTTCATTTTCACTTAGTCTACCTACTTGAGCATTGAAGTCACCAGCCATTATAAATATATCAGAGCGCTTAACTTTTTGGAGAAGGTCCGAAAGCTTTCTGTAAAACTCATCTTTTACATCGTCTGGACTGCAGTCAGTGGGGGCGTAGGCTGATATGACGAAGAGGCAACGGCGATTGTCCCTATCCTTCCGAGTCCTTACTGTCCCGTTTAGTCGGACAGCGCACAAGCGACTATCTATTGGGATCCGATCAAGAAGAGATTTTTCAGCTCTACGACTCAATGCTATGCCTAGGCCAGCAAGACCCCGGGAAGCAGCATCAAGGCTACCGGATACACGAAGAGTAAATCGAGCTGCTTCTTTATTTTGACAAGGTGGATTCAGATTAATTTTACTAGGATCCTGTATGAGCGTTTCCGAGACGCAGTATACATCGATGGAGCGAGATTCTAAAGTCCTACCTAAGGAAGCTTGTTGCCCTATTTGACACAATGTCCGTACATTAAAAGCTCCAACATGTAGTCTAGAGCGGGGTTTCAAGAGACCAGGAATGACGTTTCGTGAACTCGCTTCGTCTGCATTAGCGGTGCAGTGAGAAAAGGGACTGTGAGTAGAGTTAGGTTGTGGAGAGAAGAGAGATAATAGAGCGTGTAGGAAGGACTTGATTTCGACCAATTTGGGTCTCGCGCGATGTTATGGGTATAAAGGCGGTTGTCACTTTCCGAATGCCCACACCGTGGAAGGTTGTTTCTTGAGGGACCTGAAAAGGAAGATAGATTGGTGTATGTCTTAACGACCTGGGAGCGTGACCGCAAAGCCCAGGGTACAACTGCTTGAGACCGGTCACGCATGGCCGTTTTATGAAAGGTTTTTTGAGTATTAGCTCCGCTATTAAAAGCCCTTAGTGAGCACCCTTACCGCCGGAGATGGGAATCCGTGAGGCAGGGTGAGGTGCGATACTCTTGAGTCGACCTTTTCTAACCCTCCCTTGTGAGAAGGCAGCATCGCTGCACATGCTGGTTGTCCGAGGGAAACCCCTTACTGCTGTTACCCCTCTCTGCAGTCAGCAGAACGACTTCGCCTTCAGACCTTGAGTAGCTGCTTTTAGTCTCATCGTTCTCCAATCGACCTGCCTGGCATTGTAGAACCTTCAGGAACATGTGTTCCAGCCAATATAGCTCGGTTTGGTCATCACGATAGGCAATCCCGACCACCACGTCAAGGTAGCAGCTACGGTCGGGTCTTGAATAATATCCACTAATCCTAACCTCTCCGACCACTGCTATTGCTTTTACTACCTCAATTACTATGGGATTTGAATTGACAATTACATCTCTGTGCTAATATGGTATGGAAACTTGAGCTGATGTACGTACGTACGAAGTTCTACGTTTCTATCGTTTGATTGCCTGACAGTGGACATGAGGCTGATGAGCTAGACTTTTAGGATGGCAAATGGACAAAATATCACAACGCTGTCACATTTTGTATTAGAGTTGGCACAGCACGTGACAACACACAGTGATACAATAATGAGAGTCGTCTTATGTCCCACTGGTAATAACTTTTTAAGTAAAGTTGTGTAATACTTCTGGAATAGTCCAAAATATTGATTTATTCTCGTAGCATTTTTTATTATGAGCAAGTGAATGGATAACTTTTAATTCCTTAGGAACTTGCTAAGGAATAGTTCGATAAAATTATTCCGTCCACTAATTTTTTCCTTCTAAACCACACCCGAGTTTAATAATACATAATTAAGCTTTCTAATCTCAGCATTTATTTCGTACACTTCCGGGTATTCGTCCAATTACTATTCGGCATACTCATTATCACTGTTTTAGACTATAATTAAATCAGGAACTTGAGGTGTGGAATATTACAAGATTGTATATAGTGGTAATGGTAGCACCATGATCTTTTTAGATGGATTTTACGTTTACAAAAATAACTAAGCAAGAATGTGATTACGTTTGAAGGCCATAACCAACGCGAGTTCACGTCCGTTCGGTCAATCCCCAATAAAACCTTGATAGCAGAAAGAAAGCTGAAATGAGACTACCTCCTAAAACTCGGTTGTTGCAATGTGAACAACAAAATCAGTGGACAAATATTTTACCAACGATAATGAAAATATGAAATACATCGATAGGAAAGTTTTTTAATCGCGTCTCAACGGATAAGAAACTTCACTAAGTCCATCTTTTGTGATTGTGTAGATGAATACATTATCGCCACATTGTATGTCTCTTTCTGCAGCGCTAATAAATACATCATGAGTAAGTTTTACTGCAGTTCCCTTGTCTAAGCGAGATGCGTGATATTTCGAGGTCTTATTTCCAACCTATCTAAAATAAGAAAAATTTAATCAGAAGATCCTACCGTACAATCCAGGAATGGCTGCAAAATCGCTGAAGAACTTCCAGAGGCCCGGTAGCCTTCAGATTCATATGATCCTACAGGATCATAACTATACAGTACACCATGGCCTTCATCCAGACCAACGAGTACATTGCTAACATAAAATGGGAAGAACCTTCTGTTATAGAGAGTTACAGACAAAAGACCAGCTAGTGCCTTGGTCGATATGTCTTTTCCATGGTCATAACGATACGTCTGAATTTACATAAGTTTATACGACTATGAAACTGACCTTCACTTTGTTTTCTAGCAATTTAGTTAGTGTTGAGACGTCTCCATGAAATCCAGCACACCCGAGAATATTACCAGGGCCCCTGATATATGTCAATAATAGAAAGAGCTACTCACAATTTGAACAGTCGAGGGGAGTTTCTAGAAAGGATGATAAAACCATCGCATAGACGGGTGTCAGAAGCTATAAGTGCGAAGTCGTTTCCAGCAATTCCCATAACGGTTCTAAATTTCATAAAATGCGTATTCTTCAACTCTTACCCTCCATTAGCAGCATAAGGGTCAAACATGAATAAGCAAACTACCAACAACGCGCAAGCTCCAAAGTTTCCGCCACTAGGTTTCAATATCTCCAATATCTAAAATCCAATGTCTTTTTCATGAGCTAGTGTAAACCTATTTGATTTCTTCGTGCTCGATTCTTGTTCTTTCGGTACGGTTCCAAGGGTTCGGTAATGTCCAATCGATGGAGGTCTAGCCACTCGACCGCCTAATTCTAGGCAGTTGGTTGTGAGTTTGTATGTCTCGGGATTTTAATGAAAACGTTTGTTTCAGGGCAGTAGGGTTTCTGGGTACCAGCAGCCGTCACATTACCAAACCGGAGATCAGTTAATTGCAATGTGGAGAGTAATAAGGATAATAAGGACAAAATTATAATGATAATATAAATAAAATTTCAGAACTGAGTTATATATAGATGAATTTAGTTTGTTAATTGGTAGTGAAGATTGTGAGAGAGGACTGAAGTGTAAGCAAGGGAGTGGAAACAGAGATAATAGGCGAGATAGATTAATTGAGTGATCTGAGGAGATGGCAATGATAACAACCAGCAGATCTCAAGATACGCATCATGAACAGCTTGTCCAAGAGGGAGATGATAGTCCGTATGTGAGTACGTGATTATCAAATCTCTTCTTAAAGCAGTCCACTGAGGGGGCTGGTGTCACCTCGCTGGGAGAGCATTCCAGGTTGCGACAACTCGCATTGAGAAAAAGTGTGCCTGAATCTGAGTATTCACTCTTTGATGTGCAATATTTCGAGGATTGCCTCGAGGGGAGTGGTGATGCATCGGTAAGATCCTCACACTAGGATGGTTTGGCGTGTTTATTATTGTGTACGCCATAATCAGATCGCCTCTGATTCTCCTATAGCTCAGTGGAAACAATCTCAAGAGCCGGAGTCTATCATCGTAGGGTTTATTTCTCAACCCTGTTAATTACAAATGGTTTAATTCGGAATAGCAGATTTAGTTTAATACCTTAGAAACAGTGGATCGTCGGTGGAATCGAAGACCTTGAAAGTCAATCAGTTAGGTGTAAGGGGAGTCGGTCTACCAAGAGTAGCTTCATACCTAACAGCTTGAGCATTTAAGAAATGCAATTATATAACTTCTCTCTTCATTTTGAGATCAACGATAGTAGCTCAGTAATCACTTGGGGTTAATAGGTTAGTTTTACCCCTTCTGAAACCTTTTCATTGGAACGGAAGTATGCTTACATAATATCGAGAAGTCGTGTAGACCGTTATAACAATGGCGCCATAAATTTCGAGGGTAATGTATGAATTACTACTAGCCGGTAGCCTGAAGACTCATTCCGTCCGCCTCCTTTAAAAACTGGTATGGTGTATTCCAGATTCTCATCTCTGGGACCTTTCCTTGGTCTAGTGTATATGAGAACATCACATTGAATTGCGCAGCCAAAATTGAACTCGTTTCTTCAGCTTGGCAGAGTAAATCCTGTCCAAACCAGATCTCAAGTTTACTGCTGGGACTTCATCTAAACTTAACGTTGAGCTATCGTTATAGTAGGTTGTGTAAAATTACTGAAATGCCAACAGATAATGTTTCTCCAGGGGCTATGCTTCATCATTGTTGTTGATGACTGGGGTACCGGAAAACTCTAATCTTCTCTTAAGTCTCATATGTATCTGTTCCTTGTTTTTGTGAACTGCCATCACAGGCTGTTGTCATTAATTAATTTGTGTTCTCCCCAGAGGTACCATTTAAGAGTTATCCATGTCAGGATGATGACTTTTCCTGTCCACCTTTTGCAGGTTATTCTTCGAAGCTGACACACTCGACCATCTAAAATTTCAACTCCTGTTTTTAGTAAAATGTTTCATATCAGTTTTCTCATTAAAATTGTGGTTATGATGGTGGGATGGCTTTTTCACGGGGGAGCCAGGATACAGATATTTTTAGTTACATATTCTGCTTTCGTGAAGATGTAGTCCCATAGTAGTGGCGTCTGACCAAGCCCCTAATTTCCTATCTTCACACAATTCGGATTCTTACAGAATAGAGCCTCAGTAGAGTTATGACCCTCATTGTATATGAGTAAGCAAAGTTGACTTTCGGAATAGAGAAGTCCGTGGCTAGAGATTTCTAGAGATTTCCTATCATATTAGTATTGTTAGCGTTGTTTCGTTCATGCAACTCACGTGACAGCAAACTGACCGCATCCCCGAATATGCAGTTGATAATTCCAGTTTGACGGGCATGAGCCTCTTCACACTGCCTGTCTGTCTGAGCCCTAAGTGAATTTGAAAGGTAACCTACTTAAGAAGGATATAATGAGTTAGCGTTTCCTATCCTTTTAACTCTTTTTCACTTCATCTTCACAGTCTGAGAAAGAAATAGTCAGTGTGCGAGAATAAACGATGGAAGTTAAGCGGCTTTTTCATGGATACTGTCGCCAAATATTTTGACGGGTAGGTGAGGTGAATCAGGAAAGAATGATTGGAACTGTTTGGTCTCGATTTCCGAGCACTCGAAGATTGACTTCTTATTTGATCGAACCCATAAAGTAGGCAAAGCATAAAGACGATAGTTAGGCATGCCGTTAATCAGTTATTATTCAACCAACCAACTGAAGGTAGGCTGGCATTAGTAGGCTTAGGTACCTCATCCCATCATCATACGACTGATTAGATCAGTCTCTCTAATTTTACATACGGGGTGTTGAAACAGTTCTTGAATATCCGCTTCCGATATCAGACAAGGCCTCCATGCCTAAATTACCATGAGATTTTAGTATGTTTGTGTACACTTTGAATACAATAAAAACTTGTAGAGCCAGGGAACAATTACTGACCACTTTAAAAGTTCATCATTCAGAGTATTATCTATGCTGAATAATAAGCTTCAAACAGTTCAGTGAATATGTAGATTCCGAAAATGAGGTTTTGACTTGGGAATAACTGTTCAGTAAGTTTAGATACGCGTCTTGCCCAGTTGAAATCCAAAAACAAGTGATTTGAGTAAGTAACGGTTCTAAACAATATTACAGAGTTATTTCTTCAAGTATTCCAACAAATGATATTCTATCCCTCTTATAACACAGAGTTACCCAATTTACAATCGAAATTGCACATTTCCAGTCAGTGTAAGCGCTCCAACTGCCAGAGGAACAAATCAATACTGCTGTAGCCATAACTAAGTATCAGCTTAAACAACATAATGCAGTTCGGAAAGAAACATAGAAACTCAGTAAAGGCACAAAAATTAGAAATTATTGTAAAATACGAATATTATCATCCGAAAATGGAATTGAACAGATTACCAAAATGTAGAACTGAAAGAATCAATAAGGATATACTACGAATGTATACATTGAGGGATTTTCACAAACAGAACTTTCCAAAATGGATCTTACAAATATCTCTGAGATCTGCGATAATCGACGCGGATAAGTCAATTGCATTTGTAGCAACAAATAAATCTGCAAAATAAACGTTTTCTTAAGACTTCGACATTTTGTTGGCTTCACTAGTTAACTGGATATCTGGCTAAAGTCGGTCAGCCACGCACTTACATCAAATCACTATCGAGTACTTCGTACCATCCACCCTTAATAACAAGTAATATGTTTAGATCACACAAACCGTGACATACCGACTCTTTCAAACACATCTTCGAACTCCTTTATTCTCGGATTCTGATTTGACTGAGTTTAAGGTACAGGATTTCGAAGAAGTTACGTGGTAGGGTGTTATGAAGCTCTGAATTTTAGCGTAAATTTTGGTGGGTAGTTTGACAATGACCTGATACACCAAAAATTAAACTGGGAATTTGTTCCTTGTTATAAAATTACATAAATTTTTCGTCTCGTGATAATATTTTTTGTGTTATTAAACGTGATGCATTTCTATATATTTTACTACCAATAAGTTGCAACATGAACCTACACTGCTTAAGATTAGAACTCTTTCGCTAACAAGTATTTAACTTATTACTTTCTGTCCTGATAGTACAGAAGCCCGATTTTCCTCTGCAGAAGCTAACTCACATGAGCGCGGTATATCAGACACGTGCACATTTTTTAGCATTAGTGAAGGCGAGTTAAACAGGTACATTTTACCCAAACTACTCAAGGTTTCTTAGTTTACTCATGAATATTTGAACGAATAATTTAACTTTAATTATGAGTTCGATATATGGAGTACGTTATTTGAGAAAATTACATTAGAGTAGTCTCAGTGATTGAAAGTCTAGATACTTTCAAAGTTTCATTCAGCTGTCTTGTCTGGACAACTCCAGGGTAGCAATTATCAAAACCAAAATTATCAAACAATATATAACGTTTAACAATGGAATCAGGTTTAAACCAGGTACTTACTCAAATATATTCGGTGCTGATTTTGATTATTGAATAACATGAATGAAGTGAGATATAAACATGTGGAAAGTTAACAGCGTGAAAAATAATTTTGTGAATGTTTATGTATAAAGTTATAATATTATTGGCTGATATTCGGTGAATAAATGCCAGTTATTTGTTTTTTGGACGTGAAGACTGTAATGTATTTACAATGGATTTTTTATTTTAAATGTCGAATGTGTAATTAAATTGAGATTTATCACTTTTAAAGTTGTTATGCATCAAATATTAAAATTATTTGCTTCCATTTGATCACTGTGACACGTAACTTCAGCAAAGTGGACAGAGATGAGATAAAATAACTTGTGGATGGTCACTTGTCATGGAATGGGGCCAGTTGAATAACATATTTTCTGTTTGTCCAACAGAGATTTTAAAGATTTTCAGAAATGAAAAACTAAATTGGAGTGCATGCGAAGAGTGGAGGAACTCTTTTATCATTCCTTACGATGTACTTAGATCATCTAAAAGCTTAAGGATAGTGCTTTTTGTGGAGTGCATATCACTCACAGAAAACAGAAAAGAAAACCGGGAAATAGCAGCTGTTAATGGCACTTTTGTCTGACATAATAATCACGTTGGTCATATTCCACCAGATCTATAGTACTGTTCTCTTCTGGAGAAGTAAGAACACAGTCATTTGGTCTTTCAGATGTTAGTATTGACGCGCGCAAGCTCGTTTAATAGTTATAGTCTGAAT